GAAAAAAAAAAAAAAAAAAAAAAAAAAAAAGAAATGTTTAAAAGTGAAGAAAGAAAAAAACCTTGGGTGTATTCTTAAGTCTTTCACTCGGTGAAAAATTATGCTAATTATTTACGGACTAATACGGCTTAAACGTTACTCCTGCGTACATTCATAATTTTTTTCTTGTCTTTTTTTATTTTTATTTTTTTTTTTTTTTTATTATTTTTGTACAACCTTCTTTCTGAGAAGCTCGTTTTTAACCGGTGGAAAATAACCATAAAATAAACACATTCAAAATCTTCCTATACTCTCTCTCTCTCTCTCTCTCTCTCTCTCTTTCCTTTTTTATTTTTACAAAAAAAATATTTAAAAAAAAAAAGAAAAGAAATTTTATACCCCACCTTGTATTCCATCTTCTCAAATTGTGGTTTCTCTATTCGATAAAAAGAAACAAAAAAAGGAAACCAATCTTTCTATCTATCTCTGTCTCTCTCTCTTTCTCTCTTTTTGTGGTTTCTCCCTTTTTTCTCTCTCACACATTTTTTTTCTTTTTTTTTCTTTAACTTTCTTACTTTCTCTTTTTCTTCCTTTCTCTCTCTCTCTCTCTCTCTCTCTCTCTTTCTTTCTTTCTTTGTCTATCTTTCTCTTACTCACTCACTATTATATGTCATTTCCCTTCCCACCATATATATATATATATATATATATATATATATATATTTTTTTTTTTTAATCTTGCATGTGTATCTACGTTTAGACACGATGGTTCACTTAAAATCAAACGCAATCGTATGAAACGAACGTGTTCTGCTGCATATATCGTTGCATGAATGCATTTACGATAGATAGTAGTTTATACGTTATCCTTTAAATTTCCTCCGGCTACTTGCATCATGCATATTCCTATGCATATGTATATACGTACGTATGTATATATATATATATATATCTTTTCTATGTATGTATCATCTATGCATGCATTTAGGTATATGTTTATATATTCTTGAAATGATTGCAACGCAACTGTTTGTATGTATGTATGTATGTATGTGTCTTTATGTATATTTTTAGCGAATGTAAAATAGCGTAAAACTCGTGCTTTGCAGAAATGCATGTTTTCTTTTGGTAATGGCACTTTGTGAATTACTCATAGAAAAAAAAAAAAAAAAGAAGGAGAAAAAAGGTTACCTAGCTATTTATCTATCTTCCTATCTCCATTTTTGGTAGTGTCTCCCTCTACCACCAGCTTTTCCATCATTTTAAAAATAAAAAATAAAAGAAAACAAAAAAGAAACTGAGGAAAGAAGATCAAAATGAAGACGAAGAAGAAGAAGAAGAAGAACAAGAAGAGGAGGAAACGAACGTTCGTAGAAAATATTCCTGAGGTAGTAAACGCGTAGAAAAAAAAAAAAAAAAATTAAAACTCCGAATTATTTTAAACCTTTTATCGTAGAAAAAGAAAAAGAGAAAAAAATAGATAGGTAGCTGAGAGAAGGGAGGGAGGGAGGGAGGAAGGAAGGGTTGAAGTAACTAGTAACCCAGGAACGAGTTAGTTTTGCTCATTAACGAAATCACGTTATGGAAAAATTACTGGAACAAGGTTCTTCATGAAAATTCCATTGTTCTATCTCTTTTTTTTATTTTGTTGTTATTTTTTAATCGATACAAATATGAATCCACGTATTTGTTGATTAACACACGAAGGAATAATTAACAACGAACGTTCGTTCAATTAATTTTCTGCATGTGCATTGCATAATTTTCTGCAAAATGTATCATCAAAATGATGTCACATTTGCAAATGCGCATGATTTATCGTCTTTGTCTTCTTGTAATTATATTATTTTCTTTTTCTTTCTATTATGTTGTCTTTCTTTTTATATTTCTTTTTATTTTTATTTTTTCTAATATACAATTGGCTATTCTTCGTTCAAAACACCTGCGAACTATCGAATGAAGTATATTTTCCAAGGGCAATGGCAGAGCATCTTCAACCATCACCATATCACCCCATCACTATATTCACCATCATCACTAACCCAACCACTACTGTCAGAACTCAACTACTACCACTACTATTATCAAAAAACTACACAACAAGCATAATCATAATCAGGCAAACGTGCATGTCGTATTTTCCGTGCGTGGAACTCAATTCTCTTGTCCTATGTATCACAGATCTCTTCCCATAGACTAAGCCAGAAGCAGCAGCAGCAGCAGCAGACACACCCATAATCAAACACAAAACGCACACAAACACACACATAAATATACACATATTCATGTAGGAAGTTATCTTCTACGATAGATATCAGGGTGATCCATCCTCGTTTCCTCGACCACCGGTATGTTGTATTTGACATACGTACATGGTACCATAGCGTGCCCATACCCATATTATCATCATCGCCAATACTCGTGTATATTCGTCGTCTTTCACGTCTAATCTCGTTACAGGACTCTGTATCCTTAACTGTTCGTAATTCTCTCTCTCTCTCTCTCTCTCCCTCTCTTTCATTTTCCACAATCTATGAGAGATTGAAATTTGTTCATTCTGTATTTTCATCTATGTTGAGTACTATTAACATATATATATATATATATATATATATATATATATAATTATATTATATTATTTATTATTTATATTC